ACTTAGACATCCAGATAATACATGTATCGAGATAACTCATCAAAGAATAGGAAAGGAGGCTTGCATGAATTACAATTAGGACATAAATTTGTCCCAGTAATTGCCAATCCAGATGCAGGTGCGAGATGCCATGTATTCTTGCTGGATAAATATATTAGTAAACTACCACTTGAAGCTGTGAAAAAGATCTCTTCTATTGTCGTCCATTAGATTCATCACCTCATGACAAACATTGGTCTTGCGCCATCTCCATTGGATGAAATATGCTACACAAAATGGTATCTAACAAGTGTGTTGAAGCAGGTATAGGCGGTTCCAAGAGTATTCACAGTTTACGAGTATGTTCAATACAAAAACTGATTTACAAAATGACATCAAGCCTATATGTGGTGTTCCAATGAATCCTCCTATTCAACCCACCAATCCTGCTCCAACAGCACTAGGGGCAAACTATTATAATTGCACTGTTAATATGTTTCAGGCTCCACTGCAGCATACTCCATAGTACTAGGAACCATAGAATTTTGGACCTCCGATTGATCCTTTTCATGGAATACAAAAAGGTGACCCAGACAAGAATGAGTCCAAGTAAACTTTCAGACAGTGTAGCTGACTGCTTCCATTCAATCACTTACATTTAATCTTTTCTCTTCATTTATTATTGAGTTATTCATATTAAAAAATCATTTTGTCACAAAATCACATCTCACAATGTTTATATAAGCTAAACCACAATACATTATATAAAACCATGGTACATTATATCAGGGCTTTATGCACTACTGCTAATTCCTTGATGTGTGGCTTCATCATACTACCGTATAGCTGGAAAAGTTTGCAGGAATTATACTTTGCGATTTTGTACCCATATAGCTAATTTTAATGTTTGTGGAATTTAATTTTGCTGGTGTAGGCGTGTACTGTTGATACACCCATTACTTATGATGCTTTGCGGAATTAAATTGTGTTTTTTTATGATGAACAGCAAACAGCAAAATTAAATTCCAGCAAATATTTCCAGCTATACGGTATATAACAAGATATAACATATAAGATGCAAATAAACTTCATAAATCTTTTTGTAGTTAATTTGACTTTGAGATCAACGGAAACTCAGTGCTCTATATCCCACAGAGCATTGTGAAGATACTCTCAGTACTCTATGGGATTTAGAGCACTGCTAATGTCCATACTAAGTCATGTATAGAGCTATGGGAGATTTATCTTCCATAGCTCTATTGGACTTAGAGCACTCCAGTACTAGGAGTACTGTGAGTTGAACTTTGACCCTGTGAAAGTCAATGGTGACTTTTAAAGGAAGTTCTAGAAAAACCTATGCTACCCCTTCACCCTCAAGTGAGGAAGGACACAGGTAGAAAAAGGGGCTTGCTTTATAAACCCAAAATTCTTACAAGACTATAGTGGGGTGCACTCGTGGTCAATGTTCTATGAATATTATTGTGGTGACCACGTGCCATTGTGGTTTCACATGTGGCACTCACAGGAGTAAACAAAATTGCTGCCCTTTCAATGGCCACTAGTCCACTACCTTGTTTGGCATACTTTCCCGCAAATACTGGCTCTCAAAATGTCCTAATAAGGTCAGGTTCTTCTGAAAACTAACTACAAAACAATTAACTCTTTCACAAATGGGGTTAAAAATTAACTCTAAGACTAAACAGCTATAACCATTGCTTTACAGGAATTAAAGGATTCCAGTAAGAGTTGTGAATCACTGGAGTAAGGTATCAATCTCCAGACGCACCAATTTTCAGACACTTGTTTCACAAAAACTATTTGTTGTATTTTCATGAAACTGCAGTATATTTTAGTAATACTTATTCTTTGTTTGCGTGAAAATTTTTGTAGCCCTAGCAAAAGCTGATGAAAAGTTATTAGCTCTCAAACAGGGTGTCTAAAAACTTCAATTGTCAGACAAATCTCTGCAATTCCAGACATTGTTACTCTAAAAATCAAGAAAGGAAATCTTTATAATGCCATTGGAAATCTTTAAAATGCCATTATGATTACAAATAGGTATGTCCTTAACCTAACTTCGCAGCACCTTGGCCTTCTTCATAGCTGTCTTTTCACAGGGGATATTATAAGAAAAAGGCATCACGTGATACACTTAAATTACGGACCTATTTTAAGGATTTTTTAAAATTAGTGTCTTGCACATTGCCACATTTAATCATTAATCAGTGTAAAAAGAAACTATAGATGCATCATCCTTTGAAGAGCCATGTCTTGAAGGCTTCCAGCGGACAAGGTACTGTTAGTACTTCCTACGGTGGGAGAGGAAAGTATCATAATTACAAAAGCATCAATTTGGATAGAGCTATTACAGCCGTTGAAGGTGGAGAGTCCCATAGAAGAGCTGCTGAAATGTATGGTGTACCACGCTCTACAATATATGACCATTTTACTAGAAAGTACTCTGATATGAATGCTGGGCCTATTCCATATTTAACTACTGAGGAAGAGGAAGAACTCGTGAGTTCTTTAGATGTACATGCTAAAATAGGATACCCATACACACGAAAGCATGTTTTAGGCATTGTCCAAGACATAGTAAACACTAAAGGGATTGAAGCAGAAGTTCCCAGCGGGTGGTGGGACAGTTTTCGTAGGAGGAACCCATCGATAGTGCTAAGGTCGGCCATGCCTGTTGCTCTTTCACAAGCTCATGCAACAGATCCAGAAGTTTTGGCAGCTTATTTTGATAAATTAGAGAGTACTTCGAAAGACAATGGCATTTTGATAATGCTGGATCAACTTTTAATTGCGATGAGTCTGGTTTTTCTTTATCTCCATAATCACCCAAAGTTGTCTGTTCTTTTGGCTTGAAAGGCGAGACAAAAACACAGATAACGGTGCTAGCATGCACAAATGCTTCCGGATACGTATTGCCCCTTTTTGTTATTTTCGATCAAAAAACCCTAAATCCACATCTTACCCTAGGTGAAGTAGCTGGTACAATATATGACTTATTTAGTAAAGGGTGGATTGATAAATGCCTCTTTTCAGAATGGTTTTTTAATCATTTTCTGTTGTACACATCTGCTACTAGACCACTCTTGCTTGTTCTTGATGAACACTCAAGTCATTACTGCCCTGATGTAATAAGGGAAGCTTTGGAACAAGAAGTTATAATATTCACTTTGCCCCCCCAATACTACCACATAACACAACCCCTGGACAAAGGAGTTTTTCCTCCTTTAAAGGCAGCTTGGAAAAATGTGTGCCATGAGTATCTGGTTAAAAATCCTGGGAAGTGCATTACACGTTATGAGTTTGCAGAACTTTTTCTAAAGCATGGAGCCATTCGATGACAATTAAAAATGTCACGAGTGCATTTCATGCTACTGGAATCTGCCCATTTAATAGGAAGGCAAGTATTGTGAAACACTTTGAACCTTCTAATGTTATGAAAAAGTACTAAGTAGCCTCCTACCATCCGTTATATAGTCGGAAGACAAAAACAGCTTGTACTTCTGATGATCAAGAAGACACTGCAGCTGATTCTGATGATCATGACACTGATGACACTGATAAATGTATCAGTCCTTTTCCTAACCTTCCAAATTTCGGGAAACATCTTAGCAAGTACAAAATTCTTGAACTCCCTAAGCAAAATAAACTAAAAGGCATGGGTCATGTTTTGACCACTTTGGATAATGTTCGAATGTTGGAAGAAAAGAAAAAATGAAAAAGGAAAAGGCCATTGAAAAAAAAGAGGAAGGAAATTCGAGAGGAAAAAAGGAGAGCTAAGTTACTGGGAAAGTCTGCATGTACTAGAGGGCGTGGACGTGGACAGGGAAGTGGTCAAAGAAGTACAGGTGATTGTTGCATGTGCATGTTGAAATAATTTATATTTATGCTATAGTTGTTAATGAAGAGAGTTTTAATGAAGAAAGTGACAGTTGTAGTAATGACAGCAGCAGTGGCAGTAGTATGGAAGAAGCTCCTCGAGGATGTAATCTAATGAAAGCTAGTACTGAAACACTATATCGTATTATGTGATTATAATTTATAGATACTAAAAGAGAGTGACAATGAGGTAGTATGTACTAGAGGATGTGGATGGAAGAAACCCAGGTATTTAATACATGTACATGTACATATGTGATTTATTGAATGTGTAGTTGTTAATGGAGATAGTGATGGGGAGGTAGTAAGTACTAGAGGACGTGGAAGGAAGAAGCCAGGTATTTAATACATGTACATGTACATGTATAATTTATTGAATGTGTAGTTGTTAATGGAGATAGTGATGGGGAGGTAGTAAGTACTAGAGGACGTGGAAGGAAGAAGCCAGGTATTTAATACATGTACATGTACATATATTTATTGAATGTATAGTTTTTTAAGGAGATAGTGATGGGAAGGTAGTATGTACTAGAGGACGTGGACGAAAGAAGCAAGGTATTTAATACAAGTACATGTATAATTTATTGAATGTGTAGTTGTTAATGGAGGTACTGATGGGGAGGTAGTAAATACTAGAGGATGTGAATGGAAGAAAATGAGGATGTACAGTCAAATTTACAGCTGAGGAACATCAGCTCTTTAATAAGAGATATGAGAATGGATATGATATACCAGACCCGAGGTACAGTAAATGGATAGAAATTCATCACCCAGAAAGTCCTAATGTAACTGATGGTTCAGCGAGTCTAGTTAATTCAAGTAATTTGTGTAGTATTTTTCACTCACTTATGTACAATCACAGGTTTAGAAGAGGTACCTAATGTGACAATGGATAAGACAACTGTACCTAATCCAAGTAATGTTTGTTGCATTACATACATGTTAATTTTTTGATATTTATAGTTACTGGAGGCACTAGTAGTACACAAAAGGAGGTCAAGTCAGATTCATTAGTTAAAAGTAAATACAATTCTCATGTTCTTGTATCATTATTCATTAATGTGTTATTTTACATTAGCTGTTCATCAAAGTGCTCTTCATTCTGAAGCAGAGAAACTAAATGATAGTGACAGAGTGTCTCTACCTAGTCTAAGTACATAATAATTATCTTACAGTATGTACATACAGTAACAGTTACACACAAGAGGAGTACTCACAGTCAAAAAGGAACTCATTTCAATACAAGTATAATGCTAATATTTAATTCACTGTTTCATGGTGTTTATTTATCTAGATACTATTACACAGTTACAGTCCTCTGATGAGGAAGATCAAGAACATTGCATTTGTAAATCTGGCGAGAATGAAAAATGATATTGTGTGATTCTAAGAGTTGTATTAATGGCTGGTGGCATTATGAATGTGCTAAAATAAAAAGAGCCCCAGCAAAAGACAAGAAATGGTTTTGTCCAAATTGTAAAGATTAATAATAAAATTTACACTCACGTACAAAAGTCAGTAATTTAAGTGTATCACGTGATGCCTCTTTCTTATAATATCCACCGTGAAAGGACAGCTGTGAAGAACACCAAGGTGCTGCGAAGTTAGGTTAAGGACTTACCTATTTAGTAATCATAATGGCATTATAAAGATTTCCTTTCTTGATTTTTAGAGAAACAACGTCCGGAATTGCAGAGATTTGTCTGAAAATTGAAATTTTCAGACACCATGTTTGAGAGTTAATAACTTTTCATCAGCTTTTGCTAGAGCTACAAAAACTTTCACACAAACAAAGAATAAGTATTACTAAAATATACTGCAGTTTCACGAAAATACAACTAATAGTTTTTGTAAAACAAGTGTCTAAAAATTGGTGCGTCTGGCCTTACTCTAGGCATTGCAACAGAAGCTCTCGTGGTTCAAGAAGCCAATTGCAAGTGATTACCGAGACGCTGCTTTGCATTACTGGCCAATAGCAATGCCTACGCATGACTGCCACAAGGCAGTATTAGCCAGTAAAGAGTTAAAGCATGGTTCCATCGTGTTTTATTGGATTTATCTGCACTCGCTTCCAGTCTCATTGCTAAAAATAGAGCACTCGGCCTTAGGCCTCGTGCTCTATTTTCAGCAACTCAACCAGAAGCTCGTTCGGATAAATCCAATAGAGCACTCTGACCCATGCTTCAACTATTACGACGTAAAGGAAAAAGCATAATTCAACTTAACTGAGACTTTGAGACTATATGCTATACACAAAAACAAAAAATTCAAAGCCACCTTCAGTAATGTTAGCACTCGCTCCATCACTCCCAAATAAAATTATTGAGTACCCATAACTGGTTGCAAAATGGCTTTAGAAGCAAAAACCTGATTACAGGCATTTAAGGTGCAATGAACTGTATATCAGTAATTCTGGAGCAACAGAAACTTCGTTTCAAATCCTTGCTGCAAAACTATCAATGAAGGAGATGTCAAACACAATAAAAAGAGTAGCAGTAGTCACATATCTGGGCAAAAAAATCAATATTACTTGTTGTTACACCCTGTTTCCAATCCCTTTCATTTACTCTCCTATTTATGCTTATGGCTATCTTAGTAGTTTTCCAGCACTCTTGTGCACTACGCAATTCTCTTCATAACGGACTGTTGCACCCTTAATTTCTCAAGATCAAGAATCCATTACAGCTTTTTTGTATGAGCAGAATTATCTTTTAAGCTGAAAAGTGGCCAAATTTACTTTCACATCTGTTTTCTCAGATCACAATTTTGTGTTGACTTAGGATATCCTGTTTCAAGAAGTATTGGCAAAGCCTTTAATTTCTCACCAATTTTTACATCTTTTTCAGGCACTTAGTTTCAAAAATTTATAAAAGTTTATAGACAGACAAAAAGAACAATAACAACAAAACAAATGACACATTGTGGCTTTTGTGCCTTACTGCCTAGTTAATTTTTGAATAAGTGAACTTTTTATAATTTTGCAAATGAATTATTGCAATGATCTTATCAATACCTTCAAATTCAATGTTGTCACTTTTGTCCCTCCCATTCTTCCAGGCATTTTTTTGCCAGGCCAAATTCTACCAGGATCCTAAAAAATTAATATGTAAAAAAAACTAACATTGACAAAAGGAAAGGTAATATAATAAATTAGTTTCATGAAACTACAGTATAGTAACTTATCTAAACAATATTTAGCCTAAAATAATCACACTCCTAAACATGTTAAATTCGACTTTTATACAGTAGAAGACAAAAAAGTTCACGTTTTACAGAAACAAAACAAATACAAAATGACTTCAATTACAGTACTACTATGCATTGCATTAGAGTACAACTCAAATGATTAAAAACTAAATGTTTTTTGTTTTATTACCGTTTATATGGAATAAGAATGGCATACAGTAAATTACACGTGGGTACAGTGTGGTTGACAGGCTAAAGACAAGACATTAGTGGGTCATTGAGTGTTCACTTAAGGCATGTTTCTTCTATTTGAGCTATACAAAAACAATAGGCAAACATAAACATTAACCTGTTTTGTTTTACAATATGTTTAGCAACAAATCTCTCCAATGATACAGCTCTGAAGCTGAGTGAAATCAGTGGATATGAGTACTCAAAAAAATCACAAAATTGGCAGAATTAACTGATTTATAGTCAAAGCATAACTATTTATTTGTATAAACAACAACAAACACACTTTGTAAACTTTCCTTACACATGTAAAAATTGCAACCTACAGCAAAAATACACAATGTTAATCTTACCAGAAGATGACGGGGCTTCTACTATACAGCAGCAACTAATAAATAAGCAAACAGGCTGAAATACAACAAAGAACAAACCAACACAAAGTAAAAATAATTTTTTACAAACCACACCTACTCTTGCACATAACCACGCCCTAAATTTAGCAATCATTTTATTTAAGTTTTACAAAAAGGTACAAAAACGAAAATGGTATTAACAGTTTCATTGGACAATCATTCTACAGTGCTAAAACGTGAACCTTATTTTGTCTTCTACTGTACATATACATCTTAACTACACAATTATGAGAGGCCAACATGGCAACCATTACAATTCAAGTAAAATAATAGGGTAACTTACTCCACCACCCCCAGTAGCTCCCATCTTTCTATGAGTTTTGGATACTCCATGTGAACTTGGTTGACCTTTCATACCATGCCTTTTCATAACTCCTTGAAATCCTTTCCCTTTTCTATATTAGTCCAAATTAATTCTTCTGTTGCATATAAACTAATGAAACCTACGTTATTCCAGATACATCAACATGCTGACCAGCAATAAAATGTGAAGCACTGAGTTTAGTCCCAACAGTTAACAATGCATCCTTGGTCACACGAAACTCTTGCAACACTTTTTTTGGTGCAACTCCTGCTTTTGTAAAATGACCACGTACAAGATGAGACACCTATTCATATTAGAAATAATATTAAAACTGTACTCTCTGTATAAAATGTGCATGAAGAAATTTATGGTGTGGTCTGAGAAAAGTGACCTTAAGTCAATAAAGTTAAGGCTGATTTTTTCAGATCACTCAACACTTATATAGAAGGGGACAAACTACAAAAAACATAAATCTGAGGAACACAGTTATATTAGCAAAGCACAACAAATAGGAACCACTTTAGGCTTTATATAAGTGCATTACTACCACACGGATTCTTAAATCAGATGGGAAAACTGAGATTCCCCCCCCCAAACTAAGATTCCCCCCCCAAAAAATGGTCTGGGTAAAGTTAATAAAAGTGTTCATGCTTGATATAATCCAATGTTGTTCATTAGAAAAAGCAAACATTTGAAATCATGTAGATCACAGCAACTGCTTTCGCTTGATTAACACAACATCATAAAATTTAATTTAATGTAATGAAATATACATGATAGATCAAGTCATCCTTACATAATATGGTAGATTGCTGTTTGAGGTTATGTACAGTATCCTTGATTATCTGTGTCTCTTTTATTCAAACCATACTTTATCAAAATGTATGGCTGTCTTTAATGCACATGCTCAGACTAGCTAATTTAATAATTAGAAAAATGTACTGTATTTCACTTATTCAGACTATTTCAGCTATCTGAACATACCTCCAAATAAGGTGTTTGGATAATCGAGGGCATACTGAATAATATTTAATGCAGTTTTACAGATGTGCCAAATTATTTTTAATTCTTTTGGAAACAACATGTACTTAGTGGCAATGCTCAGGTGAGGGAAGTTCATTTATTTATTTATTTAAAACTTTACAGTGACAATGAAAATGAGGGATAAGAGGAGGGAAGAAAACAAGACAGAAGAAACAATGAAGGTCTGATCCAGGAAGCATGGCCAGCCAGAAAAAAAGAAAAAAGAGAAAAAGGAAAGAAAAAGGAAAAAAGAAATCAAAGAATAGCTAAGTTAAAATAAAATACAATCTGAATTAAAATGGTAGTAATAATGATAACCATAATGACAATTAACTGAATCTAATGCAAATTTAAATCAACATCATTAAAAAATTAATTGCACTAGCTAGATTGGATTGAAGATGTGGCATCTGTTGCAAGGACAAACCAGATGGTAGCTACATTCATCAGACGAGTCAAAACTAGATCTTGATGTGTGATATAGCTGATGCAGCAGACAAGTTTGAATCAATACAAGGGAGACGATTTTAGAGCCTGGGGAGCCCTCTGAAGTATGAATGGCATGTTTTGCTAGAAGAAGGACAAGCGTAGAGAAGTTTAGATTGAGAAGAGAATCTTGTTGAGGAATCTGAAAATCTAATATAGTTCAAAATTTCAAATGACGGAGAGGGTTTAGTACGGTTTATGCATATTCTTCATTAAGAACAATACACTATATTAACACCATCATAAGAGGTAGCATGTTCAGACAGATAAGGCGGGACTTGTAGTCTGAGACATAATTGTGAAGGATATATCTAGTGGCTCTCCCCTGAACTTGCTTTAGCATTACTGTCTTTGATAAAGTAGGGTCTCCAGATACGTAAGCAGAATAAGAGGTGTGAATGCAAAATATATAAGTATAAGTCTCATCTAGTACAAATGTCAAAAGAGGCACAGACTGATCTTCTAATTAGACCTAGTGTCTTGTAAGCATTTTTAATAATTGAGGAAATATGGTTCGACCAGGAAAAATCAGAAATAAAAAAGACTCCAAAGTCTTTATGAGTACTGGCAACCAGGAGTGGGACACTGTTTATAGTATAGGAGGGAGACAATGATTTGTTTGAGACACTCAGAATGACACTTTTCATCTTGTTGAAGGACATGCCATTGTCACAGCCTAAGCACGTCTAGGTCTACCTGAAGGTCATGGTTGCTGATGAATGTGGGTTTGCATGAAAGAGTACACTTGGTGTCGTCTGCAAAAAGCAGAGAAAAAGAGTGCTTCACAAAAAGGCAGGGAGATTATTAATAAAGAGTAGAAACAAGAGCAGACCCAGAGGGACTTCAGAAAGGATGTCAAGAGATGAAGATAAAGTACACTTGACAGAAATGCCCTGGGTTTTGTTGGGCAGGTAGTCACTCAGCCAAGTGTACAATAAGCCTGATACCCCAAGAGATTGAAGTTTGTGAAGGAGTAGCTCATGGGGAACTGTATCAAAAGCTTTTTGTAAGTCCAAGTAAGCAGTGTCTGTTGAGATGAAACTGACCGATAACAGCAGCAGCTGTTGGGTGGACTTCTCCTTGAGAAAGCCAAATTGAGATACAGAAATGCTTGGAGACAGGAAGAGAATCATTTGGTCAAAGACTAAAATGTTTGAGGACCTTGACAGGGAGTAGAACAGGGAGATTGGCCTATAATTCTTGACAGATAATCTATCGCCAGATTTAAAGGAATACTGACGTTGGTACGGATATCCGCACACTTTTCGTAAAATTGATGACAAAATATGATTTTTGGGGACCACAAATCATATTTCGTCAAACAAAATGGCAGAACTTATGCAAAGTTTCTTTGAGCATTCATATTGGCATTCAGAAGAATGGAGAGAAAGTCTTGCTAAGTGAAGATGTCAAATAAAGGCCAGAGAAGAGCTCAGAAAGATATAGACTCCAGCAAACACAGCTACATGGTCAAACTCACCCGTCAAAAAGACACTAGCCTTTCACGGATGGCAAACTTGATGAAAAAATGCAGTTAAGTGCTTACCTCTTACTTTGGTGGAAATGAACGTAAGGCATCATTTGTTGAAGCATCAGAGAACCAGAAGCAAGAATCAGAGTATAAACTGTTGTTATATTACAAGATAAAAACCCGCAGTCATTTTTTTGTTTATAAACTTTCCGTGTACTAAAGCCATGCAGCTCTTCCATAAACTACTCCAGTATATCTTTAAAGACAGGTGTAATTAAGTTGATCTACCATTCCTGGGGAAATTTTCCATACAGTAATGACGGTGCAAATAGACGGTGAATTCGGATGTGCCAAGCTACACCAAAGTTCTTCAGAATGTAAGTACTGACACAACTGATACCCATTGCCTTGGATGTGTCAAGCTTATTTAGAGACTGACACACATCCATAGCTGAGAAGCTGATGTTACTTAAACAATCAAGGAGAGGGATACTGGCAGGCAGAATATTGTTGGAAGAAAAAGTTGAGAAGACAGAATAGAAATAGTTGTTGATAAGTTTGCCTAACCAACATCATCCGAAAAAGATATTCTCAGCACACAATTGGCAAAACTTCACAGAAACAGCCAATTATACTTATATACATAACCTACATGTTAGGTGGAACTTCTTGGAAGTCGATGAGTGGGGCATGATAGGCCAACAAGAGGTCTGACACACAATACTGATAGGCAAAAGATGGAGGAATACTATCAGTCTTTACCAAAAGAGGCTCAAAAGTGGTACACATTGAAGCTTGAATCAGTCAGATAACAATGGCCCCTATCTACCAGAAAATAATGCTAAGTTTACTGCACAGATGTCTTGCTGGCCAAAGCTAGAGTATGAGCACATTTATACCAAAAAGTTCATGTTCTCCACAAACAAAACAAATACGAAACAATTTAACTTACAATAGTATGTGTTGCATTAATGTACCATTTCAACAATTAAAAAACGGAATCTTTCAGTTTTATTATGGTTTATACAGACAAAGAACAGTGTACAGTAAATTGCACGTGGGTACAGCAAGGACCTGCGTGTTTACTGATTCAAAGGGAGGCTTTAGGGAGTCACTGAGTGTTCACTCAAGCCATGTTTCTTCTATCTGAGCTACACAAAACTTAGGCAAACGTACGAAAACTTGTATAAACATTAACAATATTGTTTTTCTATAGGTTTCACAACAAATCTCCCTTCAATTGTATGGCTATGAAGCTGAGCGAAATCAGAGGATAGGAATACTGAAGAGCATCACAGATTGGCAGCGTTAACTGATTTGTAGTCAAAGCATAAATATTATTTGTATAAACAACAACAAACACACTATAAATTATCTTCATTATTTCTTATACGGGTACAAATTGTAACCTAGGACAAAAATACACAGTGTTATATTCTTACCAGAAGATGAAAGGGGGCTTCTACTATACAGCAGCAACTAATAAATGAGCAAACTGGCTGAAATAGAACTATGAACAAAGCAACACAAATTAAATATAATTTTTCACCGACTACACCCATTCTTGCACATATCCATACCCTAAAATTAACTATTGTTTTATTTGAGTTTTGTAAAAACAGTTCCAAAACCAAAATGGTACGAATGGTTTCATTGCACCATCATGCTACAGTGCTAAAACATGTACTTTACTTTGTCTTCTACTGTACCTTACATTTGCTAGTTTTATTCTGATTTTAGGATGTTCACTTCTGTTTTTGATTAGTGCTATAGTAGCAAATACTCTGATAGTTTTCACTAAAGCTCAATGATGTGGAAACTGCTGGACATGCCGGTCGTTGTCTGTTTTTTTGCATGCTTGTCCTAGATTTTAACATGTGAAAAGGACATTTTGTCCGAGATATTTATACAGTTAAATTAATTGAACGGACATTATTAACCACACCCAGTAAGCTAGTAAACATGTGGAGATATCTACCAGGAGTAAGGAGACTTTCAAGCCCAACCACTACTGCCTCTTCAAAGAGATCACTTAGCTCTTCTATACTACAAGACAGTTGTCCATTAGAGAATTCTCGTAATTTTGTTCCTTCGAGGAAGGACAATTACTCCTGGCTAGAGTATGACAGTTCCAGCGGTAAGATGTTTTGTACACTTTGTAGGAAACATAAGAAGAAAAATGCCTTCTCAACATCTGGATCAACCAAATTCAGGAGATCAGCTCTTACAGATCATAGCAAATCGCTGGAACACACTGATGCTGTTTGTGCTACTCACAAATCCAAACAAGCTTTTCCCATTTTTGCTTCAGCGATTGAGTCAGCTGACAAAGCTATCTTGACACTTTTAAAGGCAGTA